ACACCGCCTGCTCCTACCCAACGTCGATCTGCCTCCCGCGATCGTGCACCACGCGCCCAGCAGTCCGCACACGCCTAGGTCTCCTCGTGCGCATAGGACTCGTGCCCTGCACGCCTAGTCTGCGTCGACTTAGGACTCCAGCGCTACATGAGCCCGCGCACCTCGCGAACTGCTGCCATCCGTGCGTCACACCCAACGCGACCTGCCAGTGCCCAGCGACTGTGCCGGCCGGTCCGTGTGTCCCGGCCACCTGACGTGACCCGACCCTGATCAGTGCCCGCGACCCGCGCCAGACCGCGACCCACATCAGCGACTGAACTGTTGCGACCCGACCCGACCCGACCCGAGACGTGATCCGAAACCGGCCTGAGCCCGAGAAGTTTGTTCCGGTGATCCGTTCGTGATTCAACACTCGAGTAGAGTCGACAAAGGCAAAACCCTTCAACCGATTAGGTTGTAGTATCAAACGATCTCCATCAAAGGAAATCAGAAACGTCTCTGAATCGGCAAAAAATTTTAAAAGGTAATGTCCTAATCCTAACTATAGATTCCACTGCGTTAGGATTTATTTCGATAAGTTTAATACTGTGCATGTCGTTGACGTTCCTCATAGATCTCCTGACCTTCATTTTGCTTCTACCCCTTTGCTTTAGGTTGTCCCTGTCAAACTCCCTCATCCTTATCGCAACCCTGTCTATGATCTCCTGATCGCGTCCTCTAATGGGAGTCTTGTTTATTCCTCAACCATACTTATCATTAACCGACTTCTATTTCACTGTGTTCACTTCACGAGGCCTCATCCTCCCCTAACTGAAAAGGAGCTCGGTAAGATCGAGCTTGGTTTGTTTACTTCATGCACGATTTCTTCCTTGTGATATTGTCTCACTGGACAACTCTTTTTTGTAGAAAATATGATAAACAACACGATGTGCTTCACGACTTTACCGACAAAGGACAAGGTCCCACCAAAGAGGTTGCTTAGAAGACCAGGGTGGAGCTGGTGAAAAGACTTACACCTCGAACAAATCCAAGGGGCACGTTGCTTCCCTTACCAAACAAGCCAACAAGAATGCAAACAAGAAGCGGTCGAATTATCAGACTGCCGATATGAGCTCAAAGAAGGCTCTCGCCGAGAAAGGGGATGTTGAGGTCGTTCCTCCCCGCTATCTAGTCACCAAATCTGATGGGTCAGTCATCACTTCATAACTCATGAAGGTCCTACCTACTGAGGATACCAATCGATGGGGCATCGACCTCAAGATCCAATTTGACTATGCTGCTAGAGCCATTGCTCAAGTATACCTTGCAACTTCAACTTGTTACTTATACGTACTTCATTAAGTTTTTGAATACTCTTAACATATTACACTTGTTTTAAGGCTCTCTCCACCATAGTCCCCATGCTCGACCAGAATATGAGTGTCTCCGGAGGCTCTATCCAGGAGCTTGAGAAAGAGAATGGAACTCTCTATGAGAAGAACAAGAGATTTTCCTAGGCGAAGTTCGACCTCACCCAGAGTTGGCCCGTATTAGTCGCTGACTGGGAGTTGAACTCCTAGAAAAGGAAAAGCACTGGAGCAGACAAGGAGGAAGTGAAAGGAGCATTTCTCGATGGCGCTGTGAGAGGTCGACGGCACCTCTTCCAAATGAATCTCGAATGATCTTACCTCGACGCCTACCGCGAGCAGTGGTCTATGACTTCTGCCAGTCCCCGAGCTTTCTGGCGAAGTGTTCTCCTACTTCTATTGAGTTCTACTATATCGGCTACAACCAGTATAAATAGGCGAGAGGTTCCATTCGAAAGGATCTTTCGGGAGATGCAAAAGAAAAAGACCGAACTGACAACTCAGTTCGGCAACATCGATTATTAATAAAAATATATTATTTTCTTCAAATGAGTTGTAACGAAAATTAATAAAAATTAATTTGACTAACCAAATTAATGTTCCTCAAATTCAACCCAATCCCAAGAATATCCAAATGGCGAATCTATCTCGAAAATCCAAATTCAAGTTCATGACAAGAAGAATCAAATGAGATAAAAAATGGAGATTATACTCGCAATATTGTTTGATCGATATAAAATCAAGTTCAGTTATTTTTATTTTTCAAAAAATTTATTGTCACAAATTAAGGTCTATTTGCATACAATATGTACATTGTAGCAGGTATAGTTTAGTGGTAAAAATGCGACTCATTCTAATAAGCTCTTTAATAGCTAAAAGGTCTTTCGGTTTTATTGATCATAAACTTTATTTCTTAAAAAGATTTAATCCTTTACCTCTCAACGAGAAATTTGAGANCTAATATTTTATGAAAACATAGAGAATAGTACAACTTAATTTCATTTCGATCAAACGATATTTCAGGTAAAATCTCTATTTTTATCTTCTTTTATTCTTCTCGTCTTGAACTTGGATTTAGATCTTTAAGGGAAATTCGCCATTTGAATCTTCGGGGTTGATTTTGAATTTTGCTAACGTTAATTTGAGGGTCGAAATACTTATTTCTAAATTAAACTAATGACTTGATTGGATTAGAAGAATCCTTGACTGTCTTTTTTATGACGTTTCGTGGAGACGGATTGAACTTGAATAACGTTGATTCATGTGACAAATTTATACAACCAATGTCTTTAGAGATCTATTAGATTAACATGTAAACCTCATATAATAAATTAAAGTAACCCCAATCAAGACTAATTGTATAATATTATCACGACTAAAGTAACCCCAATCAAGACTAATTGTATAATATTATCACGTTTCCTATGAATATCTACAATACAAAATTATCGTTGTACATGTTATTTTGTGCCATTATTAATAGTCGATTGAATAGTTAAAAGAAATATCATCACAACTATACAAGTTTTTTTTTCCATAATATAGTCAATATAAGGCTAATACAACTTTTCATTTATTTTAGTATAACATAATGAATGAGTGAGTTGACTCTAAAAAAATAAATGGAAAAGAGATTTCAACTAGTATTTGAAAACAAAGGACTTGTTCTCTCTCATTTACCGTTGAGAAGAAACACAATTATTATTATTTTTGAAATGGCACTAGTATAATTAGCAATTTTAAATTTTGATAAGATAAGAAGAAACAAATTAAAGACTAATGTCACTGGATGCCAATTGTTAGAAATAAATAATAATATTTCCCCCCTCTTTTCTTCATTCATTTTTTTCAACATAATTATTAAATTAAAAATAATAATCTTTCCATATTTATTTTGTTAAATTTTTACTATCTATCAACTCACATATTTATAAATACCAATTACTATTTCAATATTTGTCTAACACACTATAATTAATTATTACTCTTTATATTGCATTCCGTTGTGTTAATAAAAATTTTAAGGTTACACCAATTATTTTTCTCCAACAAAAAATTGTCACTCAAATTTTCACGAATAAAATGCATAGTTTAACCGATGTAATAACCAACAAACTCTTTGACGATTTCAAATTAGGAAGTCCAATATATGTATAAGAAAAATAACTGAAGAATTTCAACACAACGCATTGGTCTGTTACTGTTAGTCGTGCTTCGCTCGACTAAGTCAAGACGCCCCTTTATTCAATTTCTGAAAGTGACCGACTTTCCATTTTCCTCTTCTTTCTGCCCCCTTTCCTCTCGCGCCTCGATCTCATACCAACAATCACTTGTATCGTAGACGACTCTTGAATATCTTGTCTAGTTGATAAATCGATCGATCGGGCGCGTTTATCATTCTCGGGTGTCTTTGAGGGGTTCGGGGGACATGGCGAATTTGTACGGAGGGGATTTAACCAACAAAATTGATTATGTGTTCAAAATCGTGCTGATCGGCGACTCGGCGGTGGGAAAATCGCAGCTCCTGGCGCGATTCTCGCGGAATGAGTTCAGTCTGGACTCCAAGGCCACTATCGGAGTTGAGTTCCAGACGCGGACGGTTGAGATTGATCAGAAGACTATCAAGGCGCAGATTTGGGACACCGCCGGCCAGGAGAGGTACCTCATTTTATCTTCCTTATTTTATTTTTATTTTGTTTTGTATTTGTTTTGAAATGAATTGTTTTGGTTGTTAGAGAGTTTGTGTGTTTGGATGTGTATGTACCCATTCATGGCAATGTTGATTGGAGATTTGATGAGTTGAATTTGGTATTCTTATTTGAATATAGCTGGAAATGAACTTTAGTTGAATGACATTAGCTGGTTCTCAACAAATTGATAGGCAGTAATGCCCTCATATGATATGAGGGGCTTCCGTTTGAATAAAAGGTCGTTACTTTGTAAATTGGGAGTGTAGTTCATGTTAATAAGAATTAGTAGAAGATCCACAGATATTGAAGTCAAGAATATTTCTCTACATTTGTGTCATTGTCAAACAAATGTAAATTCCACACAACATTTGTATTTGGATGTTTTAACTTGTGGTACATGAGATCCACCTAACATTCAAGTATAAAAGTTTGTCATAATATAGTAAAATGTTCTTAATCTCTTAATTGTCGTTGGCTGCTTTAATCGCAAGATTCAATTTTGTTTTTGCATGCGCTTCGGTAATTTGCAACCAAAAATCATTGCTGCCAGGAACTGTGATTTAACACTTGGCGTCATTTGCCGATTGATGAGCTACTGACTTTAAGAAATCATTTGAGTGAATTCCCAAAGTATACGTGCAAAATAATAAGATGTATTTCATGTATCATCCATACAAATCTCAATTTGAATGGTCATAAATTTACTTGAATACAGATGGCCCCTTAAGACTTCACAGACGGCTATATGTAGCTACAATTATTTCAGTTAGTTTTGTTTTGATTTTAGTTGGGCTTTGTTTATGAATTTTTGGATTAGTCACATTCCAGATGGATTTTCATTTGAAATTGCTTGACTAAAATTGTCGATTTCATAACTAAAATTGTCGATTTCATAAAGGCATATCGCAATTTAGGTGACATGGTCGTCACCTTCTAAAATGTTTCAGTTCATCAATTATCTTTAGAAAACACCCGCCACATTTCTCATCAGAATTTCATTTGGGGTAAATATAGATTATGCATCATGTGCCTATTAAACTGGTTACTATGATTGAAACCGAATTGACAATGTCCAAATTATGTGAAACATGGAGACACCATAATTATCCTAGTTTCTGGCTATATCTTGTAAATAGATTTAGCTGCTTTGACCATGTTTGACCTTCTAATTGGTGAGGGTCACGAGAAGGATATCTATGATTAAGGAGACATATTGTGTTGCCGAATTGTTTTATCGTTTCATCTTTAGGCTTTCTGATAAAAAAACTTAAAGATAGATAACTGCCAATTCACCTCACACTTAATAACATCCCACTAATATGATCAACTCGTCAAAATCAGCTAATTGATCAAAACAACTAATACAATACTCTAGCCGCTTATTGCCAAACAATCCCAGACCATGTTACTTTCTCGTACAAACAGATATTATATGGGTTTTGTTAAAATTGCGCCTGTCAAACGATTTCTTATCGTGCTACTACTTGTTCAATTTCTACCACTTCTTCTTTTTTGAATTTTCAGGTACAGAGCAGTGACCAGCGCATACTACCGAGGGGCAGTTGGCGCCATGCTTGTGTACGACGTCACCAAGCAACAGACTTTCGAACATGTCGCCAGGTGGCTTGACGAACTCCGAGGCCATGCGGATAAGAACATTGTCATCATGCTCGTTGGCAACAAAACCGACCTTGAAACCCTTCGAAAAGTATCGACTGAAGAAGCCAAGGATTTCGCGCAGGGGGAGAACCTTTTCTTCATGGAAACATCCGCACTCGAGTCGACAAATGTCGAGCCTGCCTTTCTGACTGTGCTGACCGAGATTTATCGAGTGGTGAGCAAAAAGGCACTTGTTGCGAACGAAGCAGAATCTGGAGGGAGTGAGTCTCTACTCAAGGGGACGAAGATTGTTGTTCCCGGACAACAGCCCGTGATTGCCAATAACAAATTCGGCTGTTGTGGGTCGATATAGTCAGGGAGCTTTTGTGAGCCTTTACAGGATGTGATTCTTGGATTTTGGATCTCAGAATCATTTTTTCCCTTGAATGAAATAATTTTTGATTAATTGCTAGGCTTCCCTGCTGAAAGTGTACACGAACAATTCTCACAGAGAAAATTATTCACGCTGACTGCATTTATACGTGTTTTACAGTGCAGAAACAATTATTATCAATGAAGCAACTTATCTTTATAAAATTTCAGATTTTCCGCGATATAAAATTTTTTGATTTTGTTTGGTTTTTTGTGTTTGGTTTGGCTAATTTAAAAAAAAAAAATCGTATAGTGAGTTGTTAGTGGTTATATATTAAAATAATATTTAAAATAAAATGATTAAAATTGATTTGATGTAAAAGTAGAAGAGAAGATTTGAAGTGATGGTTAATTAAATTTATGTGAGTGGATGAATAATGAATTAGTTGTGATGTGTGTGTAAGAATGATTGATTGATATCATTTAATTATAATGATAATATTGATAATAGTGGGTTGAGTTAAAGTTGAATTAAAAATGTTTGAATTTTTTTATTTTATTTTATTTTTTTATTTTTTTTTTTGAGATGTTCTGTATGCAAACATGTAGGCTGTAGCACATCCTAGAGCTAGATGCAGGCCTCGATGAATTTAAAACTGATCAATGTGGTCTTCATCTCAACTAAAACTTCAATGTTAGACAGTTTATATTTTTTTTCTTAACAAATACATATTTCTATATTGTATTGCTTTTAAAAGATAACATAAATAAATTTATGACACTTGTACGCACTATATTGAAAATTCGTGCTTTAAAACATAATAATGAACATAATGCACAGTATACATTGTGTTGAAAATTCACACTTCAACAAAATATAATATTTGACTGTGAGTTATTGGTAAATTATATTCCAGATTAACACATTTAGTAATGTGATGATTTTACGTTGTCTAATGTATAACGTGATCACAAATGTAGTGTTGATGTGGACATAATTAGTATATATAATGTAAGAGGATATGTTTCATCCACATTCCCCAACACGCTCTAGTTAGTCAATGAAGAGGAGAGATAAATATTATTACGAAGCCTAAGTTATCTAATTATTTTATGGGACAATTTCTTTTACATCGCAATATATACATGGTCTTTCTTTTACTCATTGTCCTATAAAAAATATCTTTTCACCCCAACACTCACGAATTGATAACCGATATAAAAATCGCATATATATCCAAATGAACCACGTAATTAACAATTATGCGAGATATTGTCGCATATATACCAACACATATCTAAATCATACGGATAGTTAAAACATTCTGTGAGATACTTGTGCATAAGTTGTAATCGCATGTCCAAATCCACCACATAATTTAGAAATGCAAAACTATTTAGCATATATAGTTATCGCATAAATATTTCACATTTTATCAGTTATATTTGTTTGTCTGTTGCATATCTTATAGCATATTTTATTTCAAAGTTTATCAAATATCTTTGCCCTTTTTGTCTCATATTTTATTACATAATTTGTTTCATATTTTATCAATTATCTTCGCCTTGGTATCACGTAGTTTTATCGCATAAGTTTTTACGCACTTTATCAACTATTTTTGCCTCTCCGTTGCATAATTTTTTCGTACTTTACCAATTATTTTCGTATGTCTGTCGCATAACTTATTGCATAAATATTTCGCGTTTTATTAATTATTTTCGTCTTCTGTAGCATAACTCATCCAATAAATTGTTTTGAACTTTATCAATTATTTTTGCGTGTCTATCGCATAGTTTATCACACTTTACCGATTATTTTCGTCTCTTTGTTGCATAACTTATCGCATAATTTGTTTTGCACTTAATAAGGTAAAAAAATTCATTCATTAATTGGCAGTGTGAAAAACTTAATCCATCTTCAGAGCAGGATGAAAATAAATATTTCTTCTTATTTTATTGTTTTTTCTTCTTTTTGAATTTTTTAATATTGGCATTGGAAATAATATAGTAGTAAACTTAACAATTATTCTACTTTCACAAGCTAGTCAATTATCTATATTTGTCAAAATTTATTGAAGAACAATATTGGAGCATTGAAGATGCTCTATGTTGAACTCAATTCTGAAATTGTTCCTATATATTTCACATATAAATTGAATAATTGGAGATGCTTTGACGTTGAACTTTATATTAACGTGGAATTTTATGACAATAAATCATAAGCAGCTGGTTTCTTTAATTTTATTTTCATATATTGCGACGATATGTAAAATTCTTTTAGGTTCGAAATTAGATAAAAATTAAGGTAATAATCAACAAAAGATGATAGAATAATTAGCCCCCTGGCACGTAAAAGTACTGGTGGCGTCATCGTAAGGGTAGCTGTAAGCCGTGGGGCAAGCCTTCTTGAAATACACCGAATAATTGCTCGGCTTACACACGTTTGGATTGTTGTACTCTCCCGCGCAACAATACTGATCCTCCCCAAAAGCCAAGCACGCGCTTTTACACGCCACCACTTTCCCGCCACTGTTTTCCCGCAAATTTTCGGGGCAATCGGGGTTCAAGTTTGACCTACAGTTGACCGCGGAGCAATTGCCCGACCCGCCAGATGGCACTATGGAAAGGGGCAAATTGAACCCGTCAACAAGGCTGACGTCATAAAAGTCCAGTGGGCTGTCAAGTGTGAACTCCGCCAGGGACACCGGAGGAGCTCCGCCGTTGCCGTCGCACTCGAGGCGGCCCCCACAGTCCCCGGTGGTGCAATTCCCCTTTTGGCCCGAATTGTCGAAGCTGCAGCCCGTTCGGGCCCAGAAGCGGCCCGACCACCCAGTTGGGCCCACGAAATTGGCTGATTGGCCCGGCTTCAGCTCCAGCCCGCCGTTCATGAGCGGAGGTTTTCCGGCGCCGGTCAGGATTCCGGGCCATATGGTTTGGCTGCATCTGTTTTGCAATGTGAAATTTGCAGCGTTCGAACATCCTGGAAAATGGCTAAAAGACATAATTGCAAAATAACTCGAAATTGAAGACAGATAAAATAATTTACATCTATTTTAAATGGACAATTGAACGACAATTTGAATTTGTAATTATTTTAAAAATGTAGAAAATGAAAAAGAAAGAAGAAAGAACCTGTGAGGAAAGCTAGGACAGAGGCAAAAAACAAAGGCCATGATGCTGCCATGATTATGGATGAAATGAAACTGAGGAAGCTATCAAAAGTACACAAAAAGAGATGAAATTGTGAATGCATTTATATGAGTTGTGTTGGTATGTTGCAATAACTGTTNAGGCGTCGCTGTATTATTTACTGGACTTCATTTAATATGGAGCGATGATAATTACACATAAAATGGAAATTACGTGAAAGCGATAAGATTAGAATACAATTTAATTGAGGAAGAAATTGGAAAATAGAGTGAATTGGGCAGAAACAAAGAGTGTGTCATAAATGTTTATAACTTGATGTGTTTGTAGGTGATGTATTGGTAAAAGCCTTTCCCAATTGATTATGAACAGAGTGTGGTGTAAAGATGGGGTGTTTTTTCTACAAAAATGAGTGCTATAATATTAGGTATCCACATTCCCTATATCAAATCTTAACGTTTTTGAGTTATATCAAATTCTAACGATGTTGGGTTATCGTCTATTAGAAAAATATATAAAAGAATTCGGATAATTCGTAAACAAATCAAATTTAATTAAGGAGTTTTATCTTTTAAATACCAACCATTTCCTTTCACATCCACATACATGCTTATATTACGCTAGTACAACACATGTATATTACACGGGTGCTTGTTAATTTCTTTTTTTTTATAAATTTTAAAATTAATGAGAAAAAGTGGTGTAAAATGTAAATGTTTTTTATAAAAAAATATATAGTATTATATATTTTAGAATACACTTGTTACTTGTGCGACTTACATGTGTTATATTATAATAATTTTTCTAACTTATAACATATAACTACTTTAAACATAAATATATTAATTGAGGAATAATTTAATATTTTTAATTAATATTAATAAATAATTTTATTATTATTATAAAGATAAATATAATTTATTTATTTTATACATACAATATGGATGTCAAATCGAAGATCATCAAAAGATGATTAATTTGATATATTATATATGTAAAACCGATAAGAAATACAAAAGTTATCGACTTTTAAAATACATTTACAATTTATAATTTATAATAAGAAATAATATTAGAATGTAATTAATACATCTTAAATGATCATAAACAACCAACATATTTATGGTAATTCAGACCTAATTATTTTTGGATTAAAATTAAATTAAAATCTATCCAATTCAAATGATGAAGCATGGAATTCTGACACTTAGGATTCCGAAGCATGCGAGTCTGACACTTAGACTCAGCACATTCGGAAATTATATATAAGGGAAAGGGAGATTCTACTTATAAACATCTATCCTTGACACTTGTTGATGTATTTAAATGTAAACTTATGTGCTTCACTTTAAAATAGGTAAAAATGCATAAAAAGATAGATATAATGCTTATGAATCTATTAGAGGGTTCCTTGCCGTGGCCCCACAGGGCGATGGCGAGCAATGATGACCATGGCAAGCGATGGTGGATCTGGTCTGATGGTCAATGATTGTGGCGTTGCTCCGGGTTCAAGGGCAGTGTACCCAGGACTAAAACTCCGTTGAGGATGACAGACTCTAGCTTCAATTTTGGGTGAGTTCAGGGATGTGCTCCCGACACATATTGTTATGTAATGAATTGATTATTTTTTTATAAATATAAAACTTTATAAATGCATAATGACTGCGCAAATTGAATAATTAAACTGATTGGATTGTTGGTATCATGGTGTTGTAGGACCTTTGTATAAAAGTTTTGGTATTGAATTTGATTGCGTAGATGGTCGAGATGTACAATTTACCAAATTTTGGTGGTTGTATGAATGAAAAGTTGAATGCTAATCAAATGTGTTGATGACCGATTGTACAATGTTTCTTAATTTTGGGAAAAGTGCTGAAAAGTAAGTACTACCCTAATTGTACTATCTTTGACTGGGTAAAATCTAGTGGAGATTCATGGTTATGGAAATCATGGACCTCTTTACTACCTGAATAAAAGTCCCAAGTGAGTGTTTAATTCAGAAATGGAGCTTCCACTAAGCTAGGACTGCAAACGACTCGAGCAGCTCGCGAGCGTTCAAGTCAAAGCTCGACTCGAGCTCGGTCAAACTCGAGCTAGAGTCAAGCTCGAGCTGCTCGAGTCGATCTCGAGCCGAGTCTCGAGCCCCGTTATGCAATCGCGAGTAGCTCATCGAGCTGCTCGTTATTTATGTAAATTTACAAAAATAGCCTTCAGAAGTGTAGTACAAGGCAATATACTCTAGGGTGAATTTGGTCATTTTATAATTTCATTCCACTCATGAATATATCCACATTTTCTACTCTTTTTTCCATTCATTCTTCTTTCTTTCTTCTTTCTACCCGTAACCCCGTTCCCCTAAAAAAAAAAATACCTAGGCCGCCCATCACCATCTCCGGCGTCGCAAACTCCCATCGCCATCGCCCATCGCCTATCGCTATCCCCCATGTCCGTCGTCTCATTGCCATCGCCAACGGCCCGCCGCCACTCGCCACTCTCTCGTGGCCATTTATCCATCGCCAGTCGCCATCGCCCATCGGTGCGAGGCGAATTAGTCACGGCCCACGGGCTCACGGTCATAGCTTCGAGGATGTAAGTTTCCACATCTTACACTCTTATCTGTTAAAAATTCGTGGTTTAGGTTTGGCTTCTTTCTGTCTTGGCCCAGAAAAATGATTGCAAAGCTATATACGAGAGAGAGTAGTCCAAACTGAAAAATTTGTTCAAGAAAGTCCAGGAAATCAGCTTGACCACAAATCTTTGGAAGTAAAAAAATCAGAAGATTGAGTATATGGTGATAACTGGGCGTTGGATTGATAGCCAATGGAGATTGCAAAAACGACTCCTCAACTTTGTGCATATTCCCCCTTCACACTGCGGAGTCGAAATTGCAGATTCTATATTCAAATGCTTGCAAGAGTGGGGCATTGAGAGTAAGATCTCTACAGTGTCGGTGGATAATGCCTTAAACAATGACACAACATTGAGAGCCTTGAAGGATATCTTTTCGAAAAACAAGTTTTTGTTGGCAAAAAGGAAGTTATTTCATGTACGATGTTGTGCGCGTATCATCAATTTAATGGTCCAAGATGGCATTGGTGAAATCAAGGATATTGTGGATGTGATAAGAAGTAAGGTGGATTTCATAAACAAAACAGACGGGCGACGTCTTCTCTTTGCTCAAATTGTCCAACAGCTACACTTAACTGGAAAGGTGTTAATCTATGATTGCAAGACAAGATGGAATTCAACCTTTGAGATGTTGACTTGTGCACTCAAGTATCGAGAAGTTTTTCCTCGATTCAAAGATAGAGAGCAGCATTTCGGACAATGTCCAACCGTTGAGGATTGGTATAAAGTGGAGAAGGTTTGTAATATTTTGCAAGTTTTTTGGACAACTACTCATGTGATATCCGGTAGTGATTATCCTACAGCCAATCTATATTTAAATGAAGTTCGTCGGATAAAAGGGCTACTCGATAGTAAAGCCGATGATGAAGATACTTTTGTTCAGTTGCGAAAAATGAAAATGAAGTTTGATAAATATTGGGGCGAGTGCAATTTGTTAATGTCCATAGCAGCAATCATGGATCCGAGGTGCAAAATGAAGGTCATAAATTATTGTTTTCCACTTATGTATCCGTCTTACGAAGTGGAACTGAATATAAGTAAAGTTCGGCAGACATTATATGATCTATATGATGAGTATGTCGAGATGTATAGTTCGGGTTCAAGCGGTCAGAATGTTACTAAAAATTCTTCTAGCCCGAACTGCAGTCCATCAACAGCTGTAGCACCTTATTCAGGCATGAGTGAATTTCTCATGAGTGTTTCAGCCACTGAGAGTGTTCGACCAGAAAAGAATGAATTGGATTTGTACTTTGAGGATGGCTTGCTTACTGCCAAAGATAAACCAGGTATGGATATTGTGAATCTAGATGCACTCAAGTGGTGGAAAGACACATCAAAGTACAAGATATTGCCAAAGATGACTGCTGATATTTTAGTCATCCCTATCAGCACGGTTGCTTCAGAATCTACATTCAGTGCCGGAACTAGAGTGATTGATGCATAGTTTCTCATTGGCACCGGAACTGTCGAGATGTGCGCTGGTGATTGGTGTCGTAAGCTACATGGCATCAAGAAAAAAGATAAGGTAAACACACTAAAATTTTAAGAACATAATTCCATATCAATAATGATTAAACATTCTTTTATTCTAAATTGTGTTTTCTTTTTATTTGTTTAAAGAAAGTGAAGTCAACCCAACAAATTTTGTTACCTATTCCTTGAATGTTATCACTTTTTTTATTGTTCAATTTATAATCTTTTAGATACTTTTCTGATTTGAATATAATGTGTGTCCTTCTTAATATTTCTGATGGAATGTCTTGAATATTTCTAGGTGTTGGACTTGGACGGTTGGACCTCTACATGCTGAAGAGGAAGGTCTAAGAGTGCTGGAGTTTTGTCATTTTGAAAGTTCGAACTACTAAGTTTTTGATTTTCATGTGTATAACTTGTTGGTCTAATTTGGATTATGAAATCTTGGACGTTTGTTGGTTGTATTGTTGGATAATTTGGATTATGAACTCTTGGGAATTTGTTGGTTATTGCCTTTGCAGTGTACTTAGTTTTGCATTGTACTCGGTTTTGTTAAATATGTTTCATGCAGGGGAGCATGGAAATGAATTGGATGATAAGAGTGATTTTTTATGCTTCAGGTAGGGACCTTTACTTAATGGGCTTTGAAAGTTAATACATATTTAATGTTGTTGTTGTGCTGTGAGTTATGGATGATCTGTGTTTGTTGGAATTTTTTTGAGCCAAACTCGAGAAATTTTTCGAGCCGAACTGAGCTATTTTTTTAGCCTTTATAATTCGAGTCGTCTCGAGCCGAGCTCGAGTAATCGAGTTCTTCTGGCTAGTCGAGCCGAGCTTCAAAAATCAAGGCTCGACGAGCTCGATCTCGAACTCGAGCAGTGTGAAAAAAATTCGATCCCTGCTCGATAAGGTCAATACTCGACTCGGCTCAATTCGTTTGCAGCCCTACACTAAGCTCAATGACTATAACTGGATTCCTAGGTTGGCAGGGGGAAAACCTGACCTTAGAACTCAGATTGATGGGCATTTGTTTTGGGTAAAGGATCTTTTGATTGCAGGGGGCTGTTATCGGGATGTAAATTTGGTCAAAGCACTGTTTAAGGAGGAGGATGCTGAGAGGATTCTGCAGATAAAAAATCTTAAACCCTTAAGCTGCTGATCTCTGGAAATGTTCATTTGTAATCAAAGGTAATTTTTCTGTCAAGAAGGCCTATTATGAGTTGATAACCAAAACGTGAGGAGTAGAGCCTTTTATGAAAGCAGTCTGGTAGCTGGTGGGAACATGAGGCAACCCAAAGTGATGGGGAAAGTCAAACACTTCATCTGGCAGTGCTATTCTGAGATCTTACCAGTGAAATGCAATCTGAAAGTTAGAGGCATTGAACTGTATACAATATGCAGTATGTGTGGTGAGGATGATGAAACCCAAGAGCATGTGTTTTTTAAGTGCTCCAGAGCTGTTCAAACATGGCAGATTGCACCTGTGCAGTGGAACAAGGTTCATCAGGAACAGATCAGTTTGAAAGAATGGTGGTGGTGGGTTTGTACTATGAACTCCAAGGATATTTCAGAAGATAGAATTCAGTTTTCCACCTACATTCTGTGGTGGCTTTGGAAAGCGAGGAATCTATGAATTTTTGAGAAGCAATGGATGCCAAGGGAGTGGATCATCAAATCTACAATGAGGAATTGGTTGGACGTTTCTATTCACAACTCAAGAGCTTAGCAAGGATATGAATGGGATTAACTAGGTCTAGTGTCAGTGGTTTTCTTTTCCTTCTGTATCTGTTTTTTATGTTTCTTGAGTTGCTAGTATTCATATTTGTGTTATTTCTCAGACAGTGTTGTGTATTTGTTTCTGGTAGTATGATCCTTAGGCTAGGATTTATGTTTTTTCAGATTGACCTCAGTTAGGCCGCATTGTCTTGCTTGTCCTCTCAGCTGTTTATGATTGGGTTCAACCCGTTGTACATTGCCAATTTTTGGCTTCTGATTTATGGAATTTTTTATGTCGTCAAAAAAAAAAAAAACGTCGGCCTACGAAACTGGCCAGACCACCATCAGTCGGCCGGTGATTGCGGCTGATGGCGACACCGGCCGGTCGGATATGGCCGGCACAGCATGGTCATGGCCAGCTAGGCCAGCTGACCGCGCCATGAACAGCCGCAATCGTTGGCCGGCCGACAGCGTTTCGGTTGGTTTTGTCGGCCGGCCGGCGTAAAAACGTACCTCGTCGTCGGACATATTTTCACCGGAAATCGCCTGGTTTCAGAGAATATACGATTTTTTGAGTTTTTTGGAAAAATGTCAGGGACAAAATGGTCCAGGGAGGAGGTGAATTGTAACTACCTTTTTATTCCCAATTTATTCAAGAAAGAAAGTAAATTATTGTTATGCACATAATTTTATTTTTTTAATAAATAATAAAAAAACTTAAAATCTGATTTAGAAACTAGAATACAAACTTGAGTTGTATCTATTCTTAACTTAAATATAAATTAAAATTTAAAATATATAAAATAAAATAAAATAAAGTTATCAATATTATTCGGTTGCATCTATTATTGAACTCTTGTTTACAGAAATGTCCTTATACACTATAAAATTAATAATAAAAAAATATACCCTTTACATATAAAATAAATAAAATTATATATTAATCAAAACGGGTTTTACCACTAGTTCGATTAGTAAACCATTGAACCGAAACCGGTTCCATTTTGAATAAAACTAATACTCGTGTAGAAAAGGTCCCGTCGGATATCATTTATTCACAACCATAACTTTTCAGCCTCTAAATTATTTGTCCCTTTTCAAAAGCATTAAAAAAATATTAATGCAGACTAGACTCGGTTTATCTGCAACATGCAGCATGCAGTATGCAGCCCGTAAAAGCTACAACATGAAGATACAATATAATATTATGAAATGTGTTCATCAGTCATCACACGTTTTGTGCACACACATGCATATATTCACCATACATGTGGGAATAGCATGTGATTCAAATTTTACATATATCAACACTTGAGCCCAGCATTAAGATCAGAGAATAATAAAACCAACTCAGTTAAACAGTGTACTATCTATCATCATTAACTGAGTCACTCATCCAATTTCCTTCAAAAATAATAACAATTAATCGGAATCTTGTCTCCCAATTAATACACTAAGCCGCTGCACATGCTTCTGTCCTTCCCCGCCGTCCATAGCGCCACTCTACATTCCTCTCTACAACTCATGAGCGCTTTAATTGCACAGATTCCTTCCCACTCCCATTTATACACACAACACACACTCAAACTCCGACACACTCACTTGAACTCACAAAATGAATCTAATGACGCTACCGCTGCTAATTGCTAGCATTTTGCTGCTCATTACTCCTCCCGGAGGTTTTGTCACAGCCTCCAGCGACCTTGCAGCAATAACAGCCCTCCGGCAATCCCTGGGCGGCCCCATCTCCGCCGCGTGGGTTGGCACTAAAGTCTGCGAGATGCCGGGCATCGTCTGCGACCCGGAAACCCTCCGAATCACCGACATCGTCCTCCGCGCCGGCGAGGTCTCCGACAGCTCCCTCCGAAACTCGAAGCTCCACTTCGCCGGCAGAGGATGGGCCGGGCTGATCTCCGACTCGATCTGCCTGCTCGACCAGCTCACCACACTCATCGTCACAGACTACTGGCCCTCGATCTCCGGCGAGATCCCGCCCTGCATCGCCTCCCTCTCGCGCCTCCGGATCCTCGACCTCTCCGGGAACGGAATCACCGGCGAGATCCCGGCGGGAATCGGGAAGCTGAACCAGCTCGTCGTGCTGGATCTGGCCGATAACCAGATCTCAGGCTCGATTCCTCCATCAATCGTGGATCTCTGCAGCCTGAAGCTCCTCGATATCAGCAACAATGGGATCTCCGGCGAGATCCCGTCGGAGATGGGGAAAATGAGTATGCTGAGCCGGGCGATTATGAGAGGGAACCTGCTCGCCGGCTCGATTCCGAAATCAATTGGGGTTTTGTCGAGGTTGGCCGATTTGGATCTGTCCGTGAACCAGATATCCGGTTCGATTCCTGAAGAAATCGGGTCGATGCGGGTTTTGTCGGTTCTCAACCTTTTCTCCAACCAGCTGACGGGCGAGATTCCGGCTAGTCTGTTTGGGAACAGGGGTTTGAGTTACGTGAATTTAAGCCGGAATTCTCTACAGGGGCATTTGCCGGATAGTTTTAGCCCCGACAATTATTTTCTAGTGCTGGATTTATCGTCTAACAAGTTGACAGGTGAAGTTCCCAAGTCTATTAAGACAGTTAAGTATATGGGGATCTTGGATTTGAGTGACAATAACATTGTTGAGGCCTAATAATCCTTACTCATATACGGAGGACATTTTGTTGCTTTGCTTTTCTTTTCTTAGACTTGGTTGTGATTTTGTGTGTCGTGTTTTTTCCATGGCATATATACTCCAAATCAAAATCGTTCGACACCAATAGTCCATTACTCAAAACTAGTACGTAACCCGTGCGATGCACGGGATGTAAAATTTGAAAGAATAATATAACATCACGTGCATTAAGATCGGAATCGAAATCAATAAAAGCCATTAAAACATTATTGAATCACAAAAAGTTCGTTAACAATCATATATTATTAAAAACCTCTTTGTACACAACATTATGAGTTTGATTATTTGGTAATTTCTCATTATCACAAACTAATATTTTCAACCCTCTTCTATTATATACACGCGAAGCAGCAACATATAATTGGCCGTGACTAAAAACGGGTTTCTTCAGGAAAAGACCAACGTGCGATAAAGATTGTCCCTAACTCTTGTTTATAGTCATGGCATACGAAACCATAAGTGGGAACTGTCGCCGCTGGAATTTAAATGGAACCCTAGTATCAGATGGAGTGATATTCATTCTAGGAATCAAGACCTTCTCGCCAGCATGATCTCCTGTCAATATCTTGCATTCGAGGACATGAGTAGATAGTTTAGTCACAACCAATCGAGTCTCATTGCACAGTCCCATAGAATGGTCTATATTGCGCAACAACATTACCGGAGTTCCTATCTTCAGGTGCAACTCATGGTTGGGAGTACCAGAACACTTGATGCTATTCAAGAATTCTAGCGTGTGGAGATCTGCCAAGAAATCATTTCCAGAATCCGCCTTAGAAGTACTGTCCGAGCTCAAATACGTACGACCTTCAGAAGAATTCATATCGGACATGTATTGGTTGATGGACTCAACAACCTCCAACGTGGGAGCTAATATTGCCCTATCCTTCAAATAACTCGGATCGTCAGTCGCGTTCTTGAACATTGGATATGTACTTTCTACAATCGTAGCAATTGGATCATCTGAGGGATCCAATCTTATATCATCTGGAATATCGATTGCGGCACAACCATCATTTGGTCCTCCTATAGTACCATCTTCAATACTCGCAATCCAATCCGCAAATGCAGCCACCTCGTCACGCTCCTCTGAATCAGAAATGCTCTGAAGACGCATGTTTTTCGTAAGACGGAGAACAGTACAGTCCTTCCAAATGCTGGATGCATTAATAGTTGCATTGACAATGTCCTGACGGCTCCCCTTTGGAATCACTGGAAGGATCTGTTTGAAGTCTCCACCAAAGACAATCGGCTTGCCTCCAAAGGGCTTGCTACTATTCAAAGGGTCAACTGCGCCCATTATAGCCTACAGCGATGTCTGAACTGCTTCAAAGCAATATTTGTGCATCATCGGCGCCTCGTCCCATATGATTAGAGAGCAACGAATTATTAGTTCCACAAGAGGACTTGCCTGATTGATATCACACGCCGAATTTTCATGAATACTCAACGGTATTCGAAATCGAGAATGTGCAGTTCTTCCACCGGGCAATAAAAGCGATGCGATTCCACTCGATGCTACGCATAGAACAATTTTACCCTTCGACCGTAACGCCGCAGACAAAGTCCTCCACAAGTAGGTCTTCCCAGTACCACCATAACCGTATACAAAAAAGACTCCACCGGCACCTGAATCAACTGCGGACATAATTCGTGAATAAACTCTTTTTTGCTCATCGGTCATTCTCCGAAGAAGGGATTCATGCTCCACAGCCATTTCCTCTCGATCGTAATTAAGCTCATCCAATATAAGGCGGTTTGAAGTGTTATGCATACTATCTCTGTCCGGATAAGGCATGGATGAATAATCACGAAGACTTGCGCCACGAATTCGCAACATAGTCTCAATCTCAGCAAGTGTGAGATTCTTGATAGCATCTTCACTGAGCCGCAAATCTAGAATTTTTAAAATATATATGAAAAAAAAATGATAATAAATATACAGATAAATTGAAAATATATAAAACGAATATTTACCATCGTTATTGAACAATCTTCGTTGTCTATATAAAATGTCATCAGATAAAAATATCCAACAACGTTGCCATACGTCATCCGGTCTACACATAGACCCGGAAACCAACAATGACACAAACATACGCCTAAGAGACTCTGCAGATGCCCAGTGACTTGCTTCGGTTATACCGTCTATGAACTCTCTGTCATCATCTAACAATCCGTGTTCGTAGCAAGCATCTCTATAATTAAGATACTGAGTGTGGCCAACTTTCATGTAGTCCTCGTGGCATGTAGCACCGCGAACAACAGTTAACAGACATCTCAAATAGTAATTATCTCCGCAGCCAGGATTCACGTAGTGTAGGCGGCCTATTGTACCATCTTCCCTTTTTCGAGGCCTCCACTCTCTGTCTGTTGCGTCCCAAAGAAATTTAGACGGTGCCTCAACATAAGTAAGCTGTCGAGCCGCTGGGTACTTCTTATTCGCCTCGAAACATGTAAGGAATTGGCTCTCATTCACAGTTGGTTTGTTCAAAACATTCTCTAAGTCATCATCATCTTCAAAAATAATGTTCTGCTGCCCTTCAAGATGGAAACTCAATCGTTGTACTGCAGGCCTCTTGTACTGCAGCTCGAAACCAAGCAACCTCCAAGCAGCTTCACAAGAGGACACATAACGACAATCATAGTACATGTTGATCTCATCTAAAGGTTTTTCAACATCTCCATCTCCAGAACTCTGATAGAATGAGGCGGTTACACGATCATTTCCTTTGTTAACATACTTGAATAAGTACTTTATGGATCGTGATTGATTGCACCACTCAACATTAACATGCGCTCCATATTTCATCAACAAACGACGATTGTGAGGCACAACATAACCATTATTGAGAACGACACCATTCTTCTCAATATGCTTACCATCATCTCGACGCATGTACCGTGGATACCCATCCTCATCTACAGTAGTGGAATCGACAAACTTTTTTGGAAATCGTTTGCTGCATTTGCCATTGACCATGCACGGTGAGTTTGGTCGTGCTGCACCACACGGTCCGTGTATCATATGATCCTTCACAGCTTCATAATACATCGGATCAGATGTCTCATCTGGTATCTCAGCAGATATTATCCTATCAATATCAGACGGGTCGGGAAACTTATCCTCCTTGGCAAGGAAAAGCAGTATGTGAGCATGCGGCAGTCCACGCTTTTGGAATTCAATGGTATAAACAACTGAAATACATACACATAACAAACATTAATAAAAGAATATAATTAATACATGATTAATATTGAAAATATATAAAATTAATTAACTATTAAATTAATGAAAAAAAAAATGAAAGAAAACGTTTCACCTGCAATAACCTTTCCAAAGATTTTTTTTCTCACGAAAATCCTTTATCATCTGTTTAAGTTTTGCCCTAAATACTCTACAAATAATATCTGGTCGATCTTCAGGACGCAATTTCCTCGGCTCAAGAAAACGACTAATTTCAGGCCAGTTTGGATTACAAGTAAAAGTGATAAACAAATCAGGATATCCAGCCCATCTACAAATTGCCATTGCATCCTGGTAATTTTGTATCATATTTCTTGGACCTCCAGTGAATGAAGAAGGGAGAATAATACGTTTTCCTCGGGAGCTGGGATCAGTATCGCCACGCAACACAGCGTCCGCCAAACCCCTATACATCTCACAACGAAGCTTTTTCTGATTAAAGCGAATATATCGCAATCTCGATGATTCCACCATTGTATAAGCGTCAACTACAAATTGTTGAAATAGCCTTCGAGCGGAAAGAATTGTCCGTGGCTCACACTCTCTATCATGCATACGATATGCAAAATACTCTCGGCAACTCACGTGTTTTCTACCTTTTTCAGTATCTGCTTTAATAGCAGAAAATGGAATGTCTTCCCTATAGCCATCCTCTCCATAAGGCAATAGCAGTGAATATTGTAAAGCCAGATACGAAGCATTTAGTTCGTTTATCCGTTGCAGACGGCCACTCTTCGATTCAACTAAATTGTCCCTTTCACCCAGAGACTGATCGAAATCACCAACAATCAAAGCAGCAACTTCAGAGGTTGAGCGTAGATTATATCGTCTGGCATCATTGTATCTCTTTCCTATTAGACGAATTCTAACATCATGCTGACCATGGTTCTGAATTCTGTCTCGAGCCATACGAAATGACTTTACCAGCTCGTTTTCGTTGTCTAACATATCCCTCAACCCAACGATAATATCCTCGTGCAAGTTGTTATCAGCATCTGTTTGTCTAAAAAAATAATAATTAAAAAAAAAATAGAATTAAAAATTGTAAAAAAAATCATACTATTAGGTAGCCAACATTGATATAGTTTAAAGTACAAACCTCACAACATTCATTCTATTTGAGATCTCATTTTCCGTATCATAAATGTACAACTGTGCAAACTTTGGAGTTGAACCGTCTGAAGGAAGCAAACTACCCATAAGATGATAATTTTGGCCATGAAGGGTAAAATTAGGTGGTCCAGTACCACGGTTAATAGATCCATCAACTTTTCCCCCAAATGACGTAAAGGCAAACATGCTATTGTAAGATCTGATGTTATCTTGAAAATGCTTGCTTCTACGACTATCTCCAAGGAGCATTTCATTCAGAAAACTGGGCGGATCTTTCAGGATCGGGAGTTCAACAATCCCATTTTGGCAACAACCACTATAATTTGGTATATTTTTAATTTTCTGAGTTGTTTTCTTTTCAACTACCCAAAAAAGTGCTCCACAATATTTGCAATTCAAGATCGCATCACCAAAATCCCAATATTCTGTATAATGTTATAAAAAATTATAGTCAATAACAATCCCATGATTGAAATTTAATTTTATAATTAAATATAGCAAAGAAAAAAAAAATCTTTATTTCTTAAACTTGATCCTTGATTTTTCCTAGGTCGACCACGTTTTGGTAATACGGGATTCCGTTGAACATCCTCATCCT